GGTTTAACTGTGTTTTCGAAACAGAGATCGCAAGTGATGGAAGATGTTGAGAGACTCTTATTGGTGTGGATTAATGAAAAACAGATAGCAGGAGATAGCATCTCTCAAGTGATCATAAGTGAAAAGGCTAGGAAGTTGCATGAGGATTTAATTAAAAAAATGCCTGTAACTAGTGATGTGAGTGAATTTAAGGCCACCAAAGGTTGGTTCGAGAGATTTAAGAAGTGTAGTGGCATACATAGTGTGATAAGGCATGGTGAGGCTGCCAGTTCGGACCACAAAGCAGCTGAAAAATATGTGCAGGAATTCAAGGAGTACATAGAAACTGAAGGGCTGAAACCTGAACAAGTGTTTAATTGTGATGAAACAGGCCTGTTTTGAAAGAAATGCCAAGCAGGACCTACATTACTGAGGAGGAAAAGGCACTCCCAGGACGTAAGCCTATGAAAGACAGGCTTACTCTGCTGATGTGTTCCAATGCTACTGGTGATTGCAAAGTGAAGCCTTTATTAGTGTATCACTCTGAAACTCCCAGACCGTTCAGGCAAAAGAATGTCCTCAAGGAAAATTTGTGTGTGCTGTGGAGGGCAAACAGTAAGGCATGGGTCACTAGGGACTTTTTCTACGACTGGTTACACCATGTATTTGCCCCCAATGTGAAAGATTATCTAACTGAAAAGAAATTAGAACTTAAGTGCCTCCTGGTGTTAGACGATGCCCCTGGTCATCCTACAGACGTGGCAGAGCGACTTTATGGGGACATGAAATTCATTAAGGTGAAGTTTTTGCCTCCTAATACCACTCCTCTCCTGCAGCCCATGGACCAGCAGGTTATTGCAAACTTCAAAAAACTGTACACAAAAGCTCTGTTTGAAAGGTGCTTTGTAGTGACCTCAGAAACTCAACTGACTAAGAGAGTTTTGGAGAGATCACTTTAATATCCTCAATTGTGTAAACCTTATAGGTAAGGCTTGGGAGGGAGTGACTAAGAAGACCTTGAACTCTGCTTGGAAGAAACTGTGGCCAGAATGTGTAGACAAAAGGGATTTTGAAGGGTTTGAGGCTAACCCTGAGAATCCTATGCCAGTTGAGGACCCCATTATGGCATTGGGAAAGTCCTTGGGGTTGGAGGTTAGTGGGGATGATGTGGAAGAGTTGGTGGAGGAGGACAATGAAGAACTAACCACTGATGAGCTGCTAGATCAATTCAACAGCAAGAAGCCAGACCTGAGGAAACTGGTTCGAAGGAGGGGAGAGAGAAATTGAAGAAATTGCCTACTACAAAGATTAAGGAAATCTGTGCAATGTGGCTGAAAGTGCAAACCTTTATGGATGAAAATCACCCTCACACAGCTATTGCAAGCCGTGCTGGTGACTATTACACTGAAAATGTTGTGAAACACTTTAGGGAAGTCATAAAGGAACGAGAGGTACAGGCCACTATGGACAGATATGTTGTGCGACAGAACTCCAGTGACTCTGAAGCTGGTCCTAGTGGCATTAAAAGAAGAAGGGAAGTAACCCCAGAAAAGGACTTGCTACCTCAAGTTTTAATGGAAGGGGATTCCCCTTCTAAACACTAACACTCTCTCTCCCCTCCTCCCATCCCATCAATCATCATCAGATCTTCAATAAAAGTAAGTGTCATGTAATTGTGCATGCCTTTTTCAGTTTGTGTGTATTAAAATTAATATTTCATGTGGTAAAAAAAAAAATTTTTTCACACTTTGGGGTGTCTTGCACGGATTAATTTGATTTCCATTATTTCTTATGGGGAAAATTCATTCGCATAACGATAATTTCGCATAACAATGAGCTCTCTTGCACGGATTAATATCACTATGCAGGGGTCCACTAACATTTCCTCTGTTCATTAGTCACGTCCCCAGGCCCCTCTTACATTCTTTTGCTTTCCACTTTGAATTTTTATTCTCACAAAAAATGTAGTGTAGAAATGGTATAAATAATATCAGCACACTTGTGAAAGAATATTGGACTCGCCAGTTGAAACGTATTCGAGGCGTAGCACGATTTGTTTACTTCTGAACTGTGGTAAAAATCGAACATTTCTGCTACTTTGAGCTGAATTTCAAGGTACTTTTCATTGTAAAACCAGTCAAAATCATCTCAATTTCTGTAATATGTCTTCCATTTTATAAAGAGACCAGGAAAGCTAGAATACAACAATAAATACCATAGGAAAATACAGTGCAAATTCGCTGTTTTAATCCCAAAACAAGGTCAAAGTTTTTTTTTTTTCTCATTACGCACTGTGTGCTGCAGGATTTTTTTTTTATACTGCGCACACTGACCACAGACCCATTCTTTCATATGTAGGCCTACCAGCTTTCTCTCACTAGATTTGAGGGCGCTAGAATTTAGGCGTACTAGTATGTCAAAAACCCTGGTGCATAAGCCCTACTAGTACAGTGGCCCCCCCGACATTCGATGGCATCGACATTCGATAAATCCGACATTCGATGCATTTTAACGCAAAAATTTCGCCTCGACATTCGATGGAAAACCCGAATTCGATACGATTCGTACAAGACGTGTCCACGTGTGGCCTGAACTGCCCTGTGTGTGCCAGTGTTTACAAGCCAGCCAGTGTGCACGCATCTAAGGATACATTCCATATTATCACTGTTTTTGGTGCTTGTTTCTGCAAGTCACCATGGGCCCCAAGAAAGCTTCTAGTGCCAACCCTGTGGTAAAAAGGGTGAGAATTAGTATGGAAATTAAGAAAGGGTTTGGGGCTAACCGTGAGAAGACTATGCCAGTTGTGGACCCCATTGTGCCTACTTCAAAAATTAAGGAAATGTGTGCAAAGTGGGTTGAACTGCAAACCTTTATCAATGAAAATCACCCTAACACAGCTATTGCAAGCAGTGCTGGTGACTATTACAATGAGAATGTTATGGCCCATTTTAAACAAATCTTAAAGGAAAGGCGACAGAGGTCCAGTGACTCAAGCTGGTCCTAGTGGCATTAAAAGAAGAAGGCAAGTAACCCCAGAAAAGGACTTGCTACCTCAAGTCCTAATGGAAGGGGATTCCCCTTCTAAACAGTAACAACTTCGACACTCTCCCCTCCTCCCATCCCATCAATCATCACCAGATCTTCATTAAAGGTAAGTGTCAATTATTCTATTGTTATTCTATTGTTATTGTTATTGTAATTATTCTATTGCATTAAACTTAATATTTCATGTGGTAATTTTTTTTTTTCATACTTTTGGGCATCTTGCATGGATTAATTTGATTTCCATTATTTCTTAGGGGGAAAATTAATTCAACTTTCGATATTTTCGACATTCGATAGCTCTCAGGAACGGATTAGTATTGAATGTCGAGGGTCCATTGTACGTCCAAAAACCTGAAAGGGTTAAATCAACTTGTTATTCTACACCAAAAATGTTTTGGTATGGAATAACTGATTCAACAACAAGCTTTCACAAGTCTTTAGAAATGGAGGTCTGATGAACACAACCCTGTTTTTCTCATGTTTTACACTCTAAACATCACAGAGATCTTTAGTAGTGCAGTTTTCACAAATTTAACACATGCACATTATGAATGTCCATTGGATATAAAAAATTTTACGGTGGTACATTAGTACTAGAGTAGAATACAATAAATCCTACTTAATAGTCTAATTCTTATGTAGTCTTTAACCCATCGACTGTTTCGGTCCTATATATACACACGTCTCACGAGTCGCCTTGTTTGACGTATTAATGCTCCTAAATTCTAGCAGCTTCAAATCAAGCAGGAGAAAGCTGGTAAGCCCACATGTGAGAGAATGGGTCTGTGTGGTCAGTGTGCACCATATAAAAAAAAAATCCTGCAGCACACAGTGCATAATGAGAAAAAAACTCCAACCGTTTTTTTTAATTAAAATGCCGACTGTGGTCTATTTTCGTATGGTATTTACGGTTGTTTTCTCGTTTTCTTGGTCTCATTTGATAGAACGGAAAACATAGAAATAGATGCGATTTTGATTGGTTTTACTATGAAAAGAACCTTGAAATGGAGCCCACAGGGGAAATGCTTAATTTTTGCCAATGTTCAAAAGTAAACAAATGATGTCATTGTCCAATAAATGGACAACTATCCATTATAATATGCAGTCATGAATGGGTTGACATTATTTATACAATAATTACAATATTGCAGTAGTCTGCATAACAGTAAATCTTCTATTTTTTGTTTCAATAAAAATTCAAAATAGAAAGCAAGAGTAATATCAGAGGGGCCTGGAGACATGACTGATGAACAAAGAAAATGTTATTTTAGAGCCAGGAATGTCTACATTGTTCATTCTGGACCCTATTTTGAAATTGTCATATTTTTTAATTTTTGTGAAATTGGCCAAATTACAAATTTCTGACCATGTTATTGGGTAGTTGAAATTGGTAATTGGGCAATTTCTTGTACTCCGATAGAAAAAATGGAGTTCTAAAGAAATAGCTAGGAGTTTGGCCGACTGGAACAATGGAATTAGCTGAAAAGTGGGCGAAATTGCCGATTCGTATATATCGCCGAGGCTGCTAACTTCACGAGAGCATAATTCCGTCAGTTTTCCAGCAAATTTTGATCTTTTGGTATCATTATCACCGGGAAAAAATTCTATCATTTCATAAGAATTTTTTTTTTTTCAAAAATTTTTCGACACCAGGAGACGCCTCAGGATTTGGGGTTTCGACAGTCAAGGGGTTAAGCATTAGGATTAATTTGACCAAAATACAGTGCATACTAGTGGTTTTCTTCTGTACCTAACTTTTATTGCATGTACACTACATTATCTGTGAATCGTATAAATAGAAGTAAAAATTGAACATTACAAGTAAAGGAAACTCAGAACACTTAAGTGACAAATTAAACAACAAATTTTCCTGCTGAATACTTCTACCCTCACTGACAAATCAATGAACTTTCTCCTTACTGATATAAACCAATGAATTTTTATCATTACAGACAAATCAATCAACAATTACTTACTTTTTTATCTATGAGATCCTTGATGTGCTTGTTCCAGTAGTACTCTCGAACGACTTTGGTTTCCACCAGGACACCTTCAAACTTCTCACAGAGGTAATCCATGATGGAGACTGGCCACGAGGCAAGCTCACCTGCATTCCAGTCAGTGTTAAAAAAATCTTTGGGTACACCTGGAAAACAGAAAAAGTTATTCAACGTTTTACTCGCAAAAAAAGCAAATAACTGATATTCAAACTTTCAGAACATAAGGTAACACGCATTCATCTGTGTGGCATGCAAAGAGGATGCTACACTTTATTCGGCCTATGTGTACACTCCCATATAGGCTGCCTCCCAACCAGCAAACCGAGTGCTGGGTCTTTAAAAATTTATTAGGGTACCCATAGTTAAATCAGTACCTTGGTTCACTGTCCAATCATAGGCGAGCCCACCAAGTGCTGAGGCAATGTGGTATCACTCATGGTCAGCATTTGCCAGATACATATATACATGTATATATCTGGTGAAGGAAATACAAGTTAAATATTACTGCCGAGTTTATATTGTTCCAAAACCCATTACGACCAGGTTACAAGCCATTTTATTACCTGTGAACTTGCTAAATATACCAGATATACACTCCTGTGCCTACTTATGTGCCTACCACATACAGAACATTAAATTCCACTATAAAGCCTCCACTTAAACTTCAATAGTTACAACAGAACGCACAGTCACAATACAAGGCATAAGGTACTTTTCAACACCTCACGTGTCAGTCTCACTATGCAAAAACACTATGCACATAAAGACTTCAAAGATCTGGAACTCTCTACTGGAACTGTTAAAGGATACCCTGACTACTTATAAATTTAGGACTTTGCTAAAAAAAAATCATCTTATCTCTCAATACTAACCAAATCAACCTAATCAATCATATGTGACTTCTAGACTATTAAACATCTGCCAATCCATGAAATATTACTGCCTGAACCAATAATTGTTTTTATTATGTGCAACTGCAAGATTACTATTCTTATGAACCTCCACCTTGATTACCTCGCATTAGTATTAAGATTTATTTTGTAATCAAGTTAACCACTATTATCTTGTTTAGTCATAAGTAGTTACTGTGTACTAGGATTAGTCTGCCTGAAATGCCCCAGCATGATAGTGGCTTTCTTTGTACAGTGGTACCCAGAGTTTCGTACATAACTCGTTCCAGAAGGTTGTTCAGGTGTCGTTACTAAACAAATTTGTTCCGACAAGGAATAATGTAAATTAGATTAGTCTGTTTCAGACCCCCAAAAATGCACTTACAAAAGCACTTACACTAATACAATTACATAATCAAGTTGGGAGCAGTACGAAACTCAGGGTACCAATGTATGTACTTTGCAAACCAAAATTGTAATTACACATTACATTTATATCTTCATCTGTGTTTGTAATATGGAGGCCTCTCTGGGAGCTGAAGCTGGTCTTAGTATCGTTCAGATAGCCTTGCCACTGCTCTCGGCACTGCTTGTCAGCCTTGCCACCGCTCTCGGCACTGCGTGTCAGCCTTGCTACACGAAATCGCAGCTTCCCAATTTTCACCAACATTTAACAATTCCTCAAAATATTCCCTCCACCTTCCTGATACCTCTAACACCCTGTTTAATAACTATTCTCTTTTTAACAAATCCATTCATTCCCTAGGCTTCCTAAACTAATCTCGCTCCAAAACTTTCTTATTTTTCAACAAAATTTGTTGATATTTCATCTACTCTCATTTTACATTGCTTCACCACTCTCTTAACCTCTTTCTCTCTCCATATACTCCTCCCTCCTTGCATCACTTCTACTTTGTAAAAACCTCATACATATAAGCTAACTTTTTCTCTCTTACTACTCTCTTTACATCATTCCACCAATTGCTCTTTTTCCCTCCTGCACCCACTTTCCTGTAACCACAAACTTTTGCCGAACACTAACACTATATTCTTAACCCTTTCAGGGTTTCTGACATACTAGTACGCCTAAATCCAGCACCTTCAAATCTAGCGAGAGAAAGCTGGTATGCCTACATATGAAGGAATGGGTCTATGTGGTCAGTGTGCACAGTATAAAAAAAATCCTGCAGCGCATAGTGCGTAATGAGAGAAAAAAAAATCTGACCGTGTTTTTGGTTTAAAACAGTGACTTTGCCTGGGGATGTGACTAATGAACAGAGAAAATGTTATTTTAGTGACAGGAATGTCTGTCTGTCTTGTCTATTCTGGACACTATTTGGAAAATGGCATCTTTTGAAATTTGTGTGAAATTGGCAAAATTGCTAACTTCTGACAGCTTTATTGGATAGTTGAAATCAGTAACTGGGTGGTTTCTTTACTCACTCGATAGAAAAATTATAGTTCTATCGAAATAGTTATGATTTTTGTCGATTAGTACACTGGAATTGGCTGAAAATAGGGCTCAAAGTGGGCGAAATCGCCGATGCGTAACATCGGTGAGACCGCTAACTTCGCAAGAGCGTAATTCCGTAAGTTTCCATCAAATTTCAAACTTTTGGTGTCATTATGATCGGGAAAAGATTCTCTATCTTTTCATAAGAAAATTTTTTTTTTTTCCAAAAAATTTTCAACCCTGAGAATGAGTTTTGTAGAGGGCCTCTCAACCCTGAAAGGGTTAAACTTACCCCATACATCTACCCCATTGCCTATACTCTTACTAGCCCATCTGTCCTCCAACAGTTATTTATATCCTACCCTAACTGCTTCCTCCTCATCAAACATTAAAAACCATGATGAGAATTTATTGCATGCATTTTCCTACAGACTGGGGTGAATCACTACCTTTGTTGCTGTTCACAATGAGAGAAACTGTGCAGGAGTCCACAGGGTACAGTCCATTTGAGCTAATCTTTGGGTACAACATACAAGGTCCTCTGCAAGTACTAAAGGAAGAATGGATGGGAGAAGACACCTGCATAACACTCTACAACCCTCCAAGGTTGCAGGTGGCCTGTCAGTAGGGTAAGGCTAACTTAAAACTGCTCAAAACACTATGAAACAGATCTAATCCTGAAAAACAGAGGCTACTTCAGCAGAAGGTAGCATTTCTGTTAGAACACAGATTAGTGGACGAGTCATCCAGTCCATGGGCTTCACTGTGCATCATTGTTAAGAAGGCTGATGGAGGATTTCGAATGTGTACAGACTACCAGAAGGTGAATGAAGTCGCCATCCCAGATGCTTGCCCTCTGCCACATTTAGATGTAGTGGACTTTGTGGGCTGATGCATGTGAGTCAGGGGTAGGGGCAGGACTCCTACAAAAATCTGGGGAAGAGTGCTTGCAGCCTGTACCTAACTTCTCAGCCAAGTATCAACTTCACCAGAGGGCCTACTCCACTACTGAAAAAAGTCCTCGCTCTGATACTGGCATTAGAACATTTCGAGGTCTACACGGGGCAGTCGTCCCAGGTGGTCACAGTCTACAGTAATCACAGTCCAATAGTCTACTTCAACTCCATGAAGAACCACAACACATGTCTGACGAGATGGAGTCTCAGGCTGCAACCACACACTACGAAAATTGTACATATTGCCGGCAAAGATAATAAGCTGGCCAATTCCCTTTCCCGTATTTAAATTTAGGTTAGTACGTGTTAGGGACTATATGGGTAGCCTAGCTCTCCCTTCCTCTCCATTTTGTTTATATAAACTGTGTTGTAATGCTGGTAGGAGAGGAGGGAGGGGACATTCTGCTACAGTCCGCAGGTGTCTTGAACCAATGTTAGCCATACTGTCTGCCGTCTCACTCTAGGATAGAGTTTGACTGTCTCGAGAAAAGTTGAGCCCTATCTAACGAGTTGGATGTTTGAGAGGAAAGGTGGTTCTATTACTGTTCAGTGCCATGGCAGCATGCTACCCATGGAGGTGGAATAGGATAACTCAAAAAATCCAGACGAAGTGCTATAGTACTCTGCTTAAAGATGAGAGTAAATGATGACGCAGTCTTGTGGCTCTCTCTGAGACAGGGAGCTAGACAGATACAGATAGACAGGGAGCTTGAGGGACAGACATGTTTGTGTACCAGCGAAAACAAAGAACAAAGGAACATAAGAAAAAAGGAACACTGCAACAGGCCTACTGACCCATGCAGAGCAGGTCCATGTCCCCCCCCCCCGGATTAGACCAATGACTCACCCAGTCTGATCATCTCCACTCAAGGATGGAGCACTGCACCAGACCCAGCAGCACAAGCTAGTCAAGTCCAACTCACACCCACTCATGTATTTATCTAACCTATTTTTAAAACTACACAACTTTTTAGCCTGAATAACTGTACTTGGGAGTTTGTTCCACTCTTCCACAACTGCATTACCAAACCAGTGATTTCCTATATCCTTTCTGAATCTGAATTTTTCCAACTTGAAACCACTGCTGCGAGTCCTGTCTTGGCTGAAAATTTTCAGCACGCTATTTACATCCCCTTTATTCCTGTTTTCCATTTATACACCTCGATCATATCCCCCCAAATTCTACGCCTTTCGAGAGAGTGCAGATTCAGGGTCCTCAGTCTATCCTCATAGGGAAGATTTCTGATACATGGGATCATCTTTGTCATCCTCCTCTGTACGTTTACCAAAGCATTTATATCCAGTCTGTAATACGGTGACCAAAACTGAGCAGCATAGTCTAAATGAGGCCTAACCAAGGATATATAGAGTTGAAGAACAACCCGAGGACTTCTATTATTTATACTTCTAGATATAAAGCCAAGAATTCTGTTAGCTTTATTGCGAACACTAATGTACTGTTGTCTTGGTTTTAGATTACTGCTAACCAAAACTCCTAAATCCTTTTCGCAATCAGTAGTATTAAGAACTACATTATTTAGTTTATACGTGGCATGGTTATTTACCTGTCCAACATTTAGAACTTTGCATCTGCCACTTCTCCGACCATTGCATCAGTCTATTCAAATCATCCTGGAGTGCTCTAGTGTCCTCATTTGAATGAATTGGATGGCCTATTTTGGTGTCATCAGCAAATTTGCTTATGTCGCTATTTATTCCCTCATCTATGTCGTTTATGTAAATTGTGAACAACAACGGGCCCAACACTGACCCCTGAGGAACACCGCTTGTGACATGCCCTCATTCTGATTTCTCCCCACTTATGCAAACTGTGCTGTCTATTTGTCAGCCATGCCTCAACCCAGGAAAAAATTTCTCCTCCTATTCCGTGTGCCTTAAGTTTCCTCAATAGCCTCTGGTGTGAAACTATCGAAAGCCTTACTGAAGTCAATACACACAATATCATATTCATTACCATGATCTACCTCCACAAACACCTTAGTGAAAAAAGTTAGTAAATTCATAAGACAGTAACGTCCCTTTATAAAACCGTGTTGAGATTCATTAATCAATCTGTGCCTATCAAAATGGCTATGAATTGCTTCGGCAATTATTGATTCCATATGCTTTTCCACTATGGAGGTAAGGCTTATTAGTCTATAGTTCGAAGCCAAGGACCTGTCACCTGTCTTGTAAACAGGTATTACATTTGCTTTACATTCCTTTAACACCCTTGCAAACAGTTCATCAGGGCCTGGGGATTTGTTAGGTTTTAGTTTCTCTTTGTCTGAGGACCATGTCACTAGTTACCGCAATCGTGCTTAGTTTATTATCGTCCTGTTCTACATAACCTATTATTTCAGGAATATCGCTAGCATTTTCCTGGGTGAAAACAGAGAGGAAGTAGGTACTGAGAATTTCACACACATCCCTATCACTGTCAGTGATCTGACCAGAGTTACTCTTAAGTGGGCCAATCTTGTCCCTAATCCCTAAGGTGGTACTCTAACCAAACAATGACTAAGACAGGTCACAACAAAGAAAGATGGTGTCCACAGCACCACTGCCTTTCCAGTTTAGGTATATGTTGCCCCTTTCTCCCAAGTTTTTCACTCCAACATATTATGATGGTAGGCAGATTTGGGTGCAAGCTGTAAGATCACCGACTTGAGGCTCTACAAAGAACATGTTATAATGAAGGCTTGCTCTGCACCAGTATCATTAGGAGCAAACCTTGCTGTTATGAGTAGACTTCCCCTTTCATAGTTAAGAGGACAAAAGGAACCTTGCACTGAATGATAACTGCCATAACTGTTAATGGTTCTGGGAATTATCTTCCATATAACCCACCCTCAGATAGGCCTCCTAGGCTTGAAAGTGCTAGTAATTCTGGGGTTTATCTTCCCTATGACCTGGTTGGAATGTGTTAGTGGTTCAGGGGGACTACCCTGCCATGGCTTGGTTTAAGACCAGGCCTCATATGTTAGAAAAGAAATATTACAGGATTAAGAACTCTTAGAAGCACAGAGTAAAGGAATGTGTATACTGAATGTAAGTAAAAGTTCTTGACAGAAATCCAAGATCAGTAATCCTGCCAGAGTGAAAACTTTCACGTTTTCCAGTTCCTGTTGTCTACCAAACTTTAGGAACTACAAGACCATATTATGACCAACAAAATGTGAATGCACATTTTCTTTCGCTTAATGTTGGTTTCCTTCATTTGTTTTCACTATTATGCTGTCCTATTCCTAACAAATTGATTTTCGATTAAAATTCCACACAAGATGTACATTCATCGTGTGCAATCTGTGCAATTCGCAAAATGTATCAATTCTTGTTATATTTCATCATTGTATCTCAACAACCATCTCCTGCCAAGGTAGGGCAACCCAAGGAAGGAAATACATTCACCATCATTCATTCAGTCACTGTCCTGCCAGAAGCACGCAGATATCACAATTCAGATTACCCTCCAATTGGAACATTCCCACTCGACCTCCAAAGGAGTGTGGAATTAAGCATAGTGAACTTGACTAAGCACAACAGTTCTGGAATGACCTGATTCAGCTTAGTACAGCTATCATGATCCTGGAACAAATTTACTGGATAAAGTCAGTGACACATGTAAAGGGAATATCTTTTGAACACAAGTGATAACAAGGTTTCAGGTTCACTCTCCAGTATTCCTTACTCTGCATAAATACTGTCAAATGAAACATTACCAATTTAATTCCTGAACCTCAGCAGGGCTACGATGGCTAGGTTAAATTACTTACCATTGGGTTCTATTTTGCAGAAACTGTATGTGTTGGAGCAAAACTAAAGTTTAGATTTGAATTTTGTGTCCCAAAACTAGTTAAAAGTTTTTATAAGTAAACTTAAACCTTTGTCGGCCAGCGTTACTGCCTCATACACCCTTCTGGACCAATGCTAGAGTCAGTGAGCTACACTGTAATTTTAGCACTGGAAAACCACACACCTACACTGTACAATGTATGATAATGACAGGTTACTGGCAACAAACATCAAGCGGAACATCAACACACCTTGGCAGTCGGGATTGATGAGATCTTTACGGTTGGAGAGAACAACGTTGCCATAAATGAGATCAATAGATGCGAGGAGTAATGAGTAACAGCTAACTAGGTCCTGGGGAATACTGGGATACTTCCCTGAAAGTAGAAGAAAAAAAACAGCTTTTAGCGTTAAACTGAATTCATGTTTAAATTGTTTAAGTCATAATAAATGACAGCAAATGAATACACAAAGACGGACGGGAGGCTTGAACCATGGCTCTGGTTAGTAGCAGGTTCAGTACTGCTCCCGAGCAAGGAGTCTTCTAAGGAAAGATACGCAAACAGAACTTCTGCTTGTCTGTCAACAGCACCATCTGTGACCCTGCTGATTCCTCCCCACAGCCCAGGAGATTTAGCAATAAATCCTTCCCTCCATCATTTTGTATATTCAATTAAAGCATATTAAACATTAGTAGGTTTTAATGGAGAAGAATCCTCCTCTAAGTCGTGTGTGCCATAAAAGGAGACTAAAATGCAGGGAGCAAGGGGCTAGTAACCCCCCTTCTGCATTAAACGTAAAAAAAAAAATGACATTTAAAGAAAGAATTTTTTTTTTTTTTTGGGGGTTACTGCCTTGGTGTGAGGGCCAGTGTGTGAGACAGAGGCAGCCAAACAGACAAATCAACCAGACAGACAACTAGTCCTGGAGCTAAGGGGCATGTCCTATGAGGAGAGGTTAAGGGAAATCTACCTGATGACACTGGAGGACAGGGGAGGTGGGGGGTTATGATAACAAAATACTGAGAGAAATTGCTAAGTTGGACAGAGACTGGATGTTCCAGAGATGGAACATAGCAACAACATTATTTATGTTATACCTATTATTATTCTGGAATAATTATGATAGGTAGATAACCTTTACTGATAGTATAATTATACAATATTTTATATGAGCAATCTTGAATTATCGAGGCACTGCTCGCTTCTCCCTCTGCAAATGGTGAATTAAATACAATACGTATATGTATTAGAAACAAAAAATAAAATAAAAATGAAATTCCAACTTGATAACTTCATTTTAATTGATTAAGCATAACCCCTATATTTTCATATAGTCGGACTTGAGTCCTGGAAATGGGAAGTACAATGCCTGCACTTTAAAGGAGGGGTTCGGGATATTGGCAGTTTGGAGGGATATGTTGTGTATCTTTATACGTATATGCTTCTAAACTGTTGTATTCTGAGCACCTCTGCAAAAGCAGTGATAATGTGTGAGTGTGGTGAAAGTGTTGAATGATGATGAATGTATTTTCTTTTTGGGGATTTTCTTTCTTTTTTGGGTCACCCTGCCTCGGTGGGAGACGGCAGACTTGTTTGGGGGGGGGGGGGGACTCCTACATTACAGAAAACAACAACGACAAAAAAAATACACATGGGAATTAAGCTTACAGAAAAATAGCATAAGAAATTGGCAACATTTTGGTGTAAGTATCATCTTTGTACCAAGCTTCTACAAAGAATTAGTAATTTTACAAAAATTATTTTTATGCAGCAAGTAATATAAATTTGAACATGGGAAAAATTCTGAAAATTCACTACTTTTTTTTTCTTTCTGTCTAATACATTAAATCTACCATTAACATCGTTACGAAGAGAGAAAAGCTATAGGAGAGATGGAGAGGCAAGCAGAGGCATTCAGTATCTGGTCAGTCATCATGGGTGTCAGATGTTAGTCGTAGCGCAAATAAAATGTGTAATCACACTAACATTAGTAATAAAGGTTATCTATCACATTTATTCCAAATTGATATCAAACACGATAAGTACCCTAGAACTGTAATAAAGATGCTAAAATGACTAACATATCCCATATTATGCGAGTGGGGCAAGGGCGGAGGTTGCCGCTCACTCATCTGTACCTCTGGTCTATAACATAAGAAAACAGTGCTTACATCAAGGCACACACTCCTAGATCACTTATAAGAAAAAAACGCAAAAATAGCGTGATTTTTCCTGATTTTTTTGAGTCATATGCTATGCTCTGTCTCATGGCATCTTTAGAAAAGATTAAACTCAGTGAACAAGGTATGTCTATGGTAACAATAATTTAAAATAATTTTATAATAATTTATAGTAACTAAAATGCCAGGAGCAAGGGGCTAGTAACCCCTTCTCCTGAATATATTACTAAATTTGAAAGGAGAAACTTTGGTTTTTTTCCTTTTGGGCCACCCTGCCTCGGTGGGATACGGCAGGTGTGTTGAAAGAAAGAATAATAATACATAATAAAGACTGGATATTAGATTGGAGGGAGAGAGTATGGAGGAGGTGAATGTATTCAGATATTTGGGAGTGGACGTGTCAGCAGATGGGTCTATGAAAGATGAGGTGAATCATAGAATTGATGAGGGGAAAAGGGGCGAGTGGTGCACTTAGGAGTCTGTGGAGACAAAGAACTTTGTCCTTGGAGGCAAAGAGGGGAATGTATGAGAGTATAGTTTTACCAACGCTCTTATATGGGTGTGAAGCATGGGTGATGAATGTTGCAGCGAGGAGAAGGCTGGAGGCAGTGGAGATGTCATGTCTGAGGGCAATGTGTGGTGTGAATATAATGCAGAGAATTCGTAGTTTGGAAGTTGGGAGGAGGTGCGGTATTACCAAAACTGTTGTCCAGAGGGCTGAGGAAGGGTTGCCGAAGTGGTTCAGACGTGTAGAGAGAATGGAGCAAAACAGAGTGACTTCAAGAGTGTATCAGTCTGTAGTGGAAGGAAGGCAGGGTAGGGGTCGGCCTAGGAAAGGTTGGAGGGAGGAGGTAAAGGAGGTTTTGTGTGCGAGGGGCTTGGACTTCCAGCAGGCATGCGTGAGCGTGTTTGATAGGAGTGAATGGAGACAAATGGTTTTTAATACTTGACGTGCTGTTGGAGTGTGAGCAAAGTAACATTTATGAAGGAGTTCAGGCAAACCGGCAGGCCGGACTAGAGTCCTGGAGATGGGTAGTACAGTGCCTGCACTCTGAAGGAGGGGTGTTAATGTTGCAGTTTAAAAACTGTAGTGTAAAGCACTCTTCTGGCAAGACATTGATGGAGTGAATGATGGTGAAAGTTTTTCTTTTTCGGGCCACCCTGCCTTGGTGGGAATCGGCCAGTGTGATAATAAAAAAGAAAATCACTGGCAGGTGGTAGATCTGAAGGTAGGAATTTTTTTTTAACACATTGGCCATTTCCCAACCGAAGCAGTGACTCAAAAAGAGAAAAAGAAAGAAAAAACTTTCATCATTCAACACTTTCATCATCACTCATAATCACTATCTTCGCAGAGGCACTCAGATACTACAGTTTAGATGTCCCCCCCCAAATTGCCAATATCCCAAACCCCTCTTTTAAAGTGCAGGCATTGTACTTCCCATTTCCAGGACTCAAGTCTGGCCAACCAGTTTCCCTGAATCCCTTCACAAAACATTACCCTGTTCACACTACAACAGCTCGTCAGGTCCCAAATATTTGTCTCCATTCACTCCTATCTAACATGCTTGTGCACGCTTACTGGAAGTCCAAGCCCCTCGCCCACAAAATTGTGCATACTGATACATTGGACACAGTCGTCAGTTGTGTACCAGTGTTGGAAACAATTTAACGGTTAAATGATGGAGTAACAAAGATGGAGGTATTGGAGATGTGTCTGATGGCAATGTGCAATATAAATATTAAGCAGAGACTTTGGAGATTGGGTATGGGGTTGCCAAAAGCATTATTCAGTGATCAGGAAGGGGTGGACTGGGCATTTACAGAGGATGGGTAAAAATAGGATGACTAGGAAGGTGTATAAATTAGGTGGAGGGAAGGAAGGGGTAGGCATCATCCTAGGAAAAGTTGGAGAGAACAGGTAAAGGTGGTGTGAGTACTAGAGAGTTCTACAGCCAATAGGCTTGTGAGAGCATGTAAGACAGGACTAAGTGGAAGAAAGTGGCTTTTATGATTGGAGGCACTGTTTAAGTGTGAGCAAGGTAACATTTATGAAGGGATTCAGAGAAACCAGTTAGCTGGACTGGAGTCCTGAAGGAAGGAAATACACTGAAGGAGCAAGGATAATACAGTTCTCAGTCATCTCAACTGTGAGGTCAGCTTGCTTTTGCAAGACGGTGATTGATTGATTGAATGAATGACAGTGAAAGTTATCCTCTTTGGCGAGTCACCTTACCTCAGTTGGAGGCAGCCGATTAAAAAAGAGAATCATGATAGGGAAACACTAAACCCAAAGGGAGTCAGACAGCACCTAGGGAATTGGAGGTAGTGATTATATTAAGAGGGAAGAGCTAAACCTGTAGGGGTTACACTTCATTGATAAAAGGGGAGATAATCAGGTTTGAGTACACAGCAGAGTAGCTCCATTGCCTTTAACCCTTTCAGGGTAGGCGTCATACTAATACAGCTTGCACACCAGGGTTGGTGCCATACTAGTATGCGTAAATTCTAGCGCCTTCAAATCTAGCGAGAGAAAGCTGGTAGGCCTACATATGAAAGAATGGGTCTGCGTGATCAGTGTGCGCAGTATAAAAAAATCCTGCAGCACACAGGGCATAATGAGAAAAAAAAAAACCCAACCGTGTTTTTGGATTAAAACAGCGACTTTGCAGTGTATTTTCATATGGTATTTATGGTTGTATTCTCGTTTTTTTGCTGTCATGTTATAGAATGGAAGATATATTACAGAAATTGAGATTATTTTGATTGGTTTCACAATGAAAAGTACCTTGAAATGAAGCTCTAAGTAGCAGAAATGTTCGATTTTTGCCAATGTTCAAAAGTAAACAAATCACACCATGTGTCCAATACACGTCAACTGGCGAGTCTAATACAGTAGAACCCCGCATAGCGATATTAATCCGTGCAAGAGAGCTCATTGTTATGCGAAATTATCGTTATGCGAATGAATTTTCCCCATAAGAAATAATGGAAATCAAATTAATCCGTGCAAGACACCCAAAAGTATGAAAAAAATTTTTTTACCACATGAAATATACATTTTCCTACACACAAAGAGAAGGATACATGCACAATAGTAGAGTAGTACATGCACAATATATATTGTGCATGTACTACTCTACTAAATGAAGAATAAATGACACTTACCTTTATTGAAGATGCAGCAATGACTGATGAGACACTGTGTCCTGGGAGTGCCTTTTCCTCCTGAGTACTGTAGGTCCTGTTTGGCATTTTCTTCCAGAACAGGCCTTATCACACTGTGTATGCCACTACGATTCTTAAATCTCTCAAAACAACCTTTGCTGGCTTTAAATTCACCAATATGAGCACTAGTTCCAGGCATTTTTCCCTGTTCACCTGGGTGTTAGTCGACTGGTGTGCGTTGCATCCTGGGAGACAAGATTAAGGACCCCAATGGAAATAAGTTAGACAGTCTTCGATGACACTGACTTTTTTGGGTTATCCTGGGTGGCAAATCCTCTGGGGTTAATTGTTTCTTGGTATTCTCAATAAGCCACACCAACAACGGTGCTACAGCAGCAGCAGCAGCAGCAGCTGACAGTGCTACGGCAGCGGCAGACGCTGCTACGGCAGCGGCAGACGCTGCTACGGCAGCGGCAGACGATGCTACGGCAGCGGCAGACGATGCTACGGCAGCGGCAGACGATGCTACGGCAGCGGCAGACGATGCTACGGCAGCGGCAGACGATGCTACGGCAGCGGCAGACGATGCTACGGCAGCGGCAGACGATGCTACGGCAGCGGCAGACGATGCTACGGCAGCGGCAGACGATGCTACGGCAGCGGCAGACGATGCTACGGCAGCGGCAGACGATGCTACGGCAGCGGCAGACGATGCTACGGCAGCGGCAGACGATGCTACGGCAGCGGCAGACGATGCTACGGCAGCGGCAGACGATGCTACGGCAGCGGCAGACGATGCTACGGCAGCGGCAGACGATGCTACGGCAGCGGCAGACGATGCTACGGCAGCGGCAGACGATGCTACGGCAGCGGCAGACGATGCTACGGCAGCGGCAGACGATGCTACGGCAGCGGCAGACGATGCTACGGCAGCGGCAGACGATGCTACGGCAGCGGCAGACGATGCTACGGCAGCGGCAGACGATGCTACGGCAGCGGCAGACGATGCTACGGCAGCGGCAGACGATGCTACGGCAGCGGCAGACGATGCTACGGCAGCGGCAGACGATGCTACGGCAGCGGCAGACGATGCTACGGCAGCGGCAGACGATGCTACGGCAGCGGCAGACGATGCTACGGCAGCGGCAGACGATGCTACGGCAGCGGCAGACGATGCTACGGCAGCGGCAGACGATGCTACGGCAGCGGCAGACGATGCTACGGCAGCGGCAGACGATGCTACGGCAGCGGCAGACGATGCTACGGCAGGCGGCAGACGATGCTACGGCAGCGGCAGACGATGCTACGGCAGCGGCAGACGATGCTACGGCAGCGGCAGACGATGCTACGGCAGCAGCAGACGATGCTACGGCAGCAGCAGACGATGCTACGGCAGCAGCAGACGATGCTATGGCAGCAGCAGACGATGCTACGGCAGCAGCAGACGATGCTACGGCAGCAGCAGACGATGCTACGGCAGCAGCAGACGATGCTACGGCAGCAGCAGACGATACTACAGCAGCAGCAGCAGCTGTACCACCAATAGCAGCGATGGTTGATTGGGGTTTATTATACAACCTGGCCAGCTCGGAGACACGCACTCCACTTTCATACTTATCAATGATCTTTTTCTTCATCTCTAGTAATTCTCACCCTTATTGCTGTAGGGTTGGCACTAGAAGCTTTCTTGGGGCCCATGGTCACTTATTTTGCAGATAAAAATCACCAAAAACACTAATAATACGAAATGTTCCGATTGTATGCTTGGATGTTACCGCGGAGGCTGGTTGGTAAACAATGCCACCGGCGGAACATGTGAGGCTGGCTAAGGGCGCACATTAGACGCGTCTCGGACGAACAGTGTTGAGCAGGTTTTTTAGCGGTATGCGAGGCAAAAATCTTGGTGATAAAATGTAGCGGTATGCGGATTTAACGTTATGCAAGGCCAACGGTATGCGGGGGTCCACTGTATTCGTTTACAAGTGCACTGAAATTATTTATACCATTTCTACACTAATGCAGTAGTCTGCATAACAGGAAATCTTCTATTTTTTTTTGTGAGAATAAAAGTTCAAAGTGGAAAGCAAAAGAAATGTAAGAGGGGCCTGGGAACATGACTGATGAACAGAGAAAATGTTATGTTAGTGCCAGGAATGTCTGTCTTGTTTATTCTAGACCCTATTTTGAAATTAGCATCTTTTGAAATTTGTGTGAAAATGGCAAAACTTCCAATTTCTAACCACTGTATTAGATAGTTGAAATCGATAATTGGCTGGTTTCTTGTACTCATCAGATAGAACAAATGGAGTTCTAACGAAATAGCTATGATTTTTGTCGACTGGTGCATTGGAATTAGCCGAAAATAGGGCTCAAATTTGGCGAAATCACCGATGCGTAAACATAGTCGAGACTGCTAACTTCGCGAGAGCATAATTCCGTAAGTTTTCCATCAAATTTCATACTTTTGGCGTCATAATGATCGGGGAAAGATTATCTATCATTTCATGAGAAAAAATAATTTTTTTTTTCGAAAACTTTTTGACCCTGAGAACAAGTTTAGGAGGGCCTCTCAACCCTGAAAGGGTTAATCAGAAGCGTTACACAGATATAAATAAGCACGACTGACACTTGGAGAGCACCTGGGTATGATGAAGGACACTTATACAACACCTGAGTATTTTTATTGTAGAAAGATTTCACCCACTAATATCTTCACTAATCCAGTACAGAGAAAAACAGTGGAAGTTATGTGGAATGTTTCGCAGTGGCTGGCAAAACATTTCCACAGGAAAGATACCCAAATGCTAAACAACTGTCTCATTCCTCTACTTTGTCAATGTCCTCAAACATTTATAAAATACGAAACCAACCTTTAATTAAAATATATAAAGTCCAGCAAAAATGAAAGATTTCGGTGGAATTGCACGGCGGTCGACGTTGTTTGCGTGACCTGGGCGGCCGCGGCAGGTCATTGGCAGGATCCTGGAAGAGATCCAGGAAGATGGGTTTGTACTTCTTGAAGATGTTGTTGGAGACGGCAAAGTTGCGCTCCAGTAACTCCACTCGGCGGCAGAAACCCTCGTCAAAGTGAGACATAGCCAGCCAAGACTTCATCTTCTTGATGAATTCTGTCAACCTGTCAAGAGCAAGAACAATTCCCACAACTTGTCAAGGGAGAATAATACTGTCGGCCTAGTCAAGCAATAACAATTCTGTCAACTATCAAGAACAAGAACAATGCTGTTAAACTGTTAAGAAAGAATATTTCATGAATTCTGTCAATGTGCTGAAGGGGGTAGGGGAGTCTCGGTGGGGGAAAATAAATGGGATTAAATCTGGAGTATCTGAGAGAGTTAGAGCAAAGGAAGGGGTAGCAGTAATGTTGAAGGATCAGTTATGGAAGGAGAAGAGAGAATATGAATGTGTAAATTCAAGAATTATGTGGATTAAAGTAAAGGTTGGATGCGAGAAGTGGGTCATAATAAGCGTGTATGCACCTTGAGAAGAGAGGAATGTAGAGGAGAGAGAGAGATTTTGGGAGATGTTAAGTGAATGTATAGAAGCCTTTGAACCAAGTGAGAGAGTAATTGTGATAGGGGACCTGAATGCTGAAGTAGGAGAAACTTTTAGAGAGGGTGTGGTAGGTAAGTTTGGGGTGCCAGGTGTAAATGATAATGGGAGCCCTTTGATTGAACTTTGTATAGGAAGGGGGTTTAGTTATAGGTAATACATATTTTAAGAAAAAGAGGATAAATAGGTATACAAGATATGATGTAGGGCAAAATGACAGTAGTTTGTTGGATTATGTATTGGTAGATAAAAGACTGTTGAGTAGACTTCAGGATGTACATGTTTATAGAGGGGCCACAGATATATCAGATCACTTTCTAGTTGTAGCTACAGTGAGAGTAAAAGGTAGATAGGGTATAAGGAGAATAGAAGCATCAGGGAAGAGAGGTGAAGGTTTATAAACTAAAAGAGGAGGCAGTTAGGGTAAGATATAAACAGCTATTGGAGGATAGATGGGCTAATGAGAGCATAGGCAATGGGGTTGAAGAGGTATGGGGTAGGTTTAAAAATGTAGTGTTAGAGTGTTCAGCAGAAGTTGTGGTTACAGGAAAGTGGGTGCGGGAGGGAAGAGGAGCGATTGGTGGAATGATGATGTAAAGAGAGCAGTAAGGGAGAAAAAGTTAGCCTATGAGAAGTTTTTACAAAGTAGAAGTGATGCAAGGAGGGAAGAGTATATGGAGAAAAAGAGAGGTTAAGAGAGTGGTGAAGCAATGTAAAAAGAGAGCAAATGAGAGAGTGGGTGAGATGTTATCAACAAATTTTGTTGAAAATAAGAAAAAGTTTTAGAGTGAGATTAACAAGTTAAGGAAGCCTAGAGAACAAATGGATTTGTCAGTTAAAAATAGAAGAGGAGAGTTATTAAATGGAGAGTTAGAGGTATTGGGAAGATGGAGGGAATATTTTGAGGAATTGTTAAATGTTGATGAAGATAGGGAAGCTGTGATTTCGTGTATAGGGCAAGGAGGAATAACGTCTTGTAGGAGTGAGGAAGAGCCAGTTGTGAGTGTGGGGGAAGTTCGTGAGGCAGTAGGTAAAATGAAAGGGGGTAAGGTAGCCGGGATTGATGGGATAAAGATAGAAATGTTAAAAGCAGGTGGGGATATAGTTTTGGAGTGATTGGTGCAATTATTTAATAAATGTATGGAAGAGGGTAAGGTACCTAGGGATTGGCAGAGAGCATGCATAGTTCCTTTGTATAAAGGCAAAGGGGACAAAAGAGAGTGCAAAAATTATAGGGGGATAAGTCTGTAAAAGAAAGGTGAAGAGAGTGGTGAGAGAGTGCAAAAGGAGAGCAGATGATAGAGTGGGAGAGGCACTGTCAAGAAATTTTCATGAAAATAAGAAAAAATTTTGGAGTGAGTTAAACAAGTTAAGAAAGCCTAGGGAAAGTATGGATTTGTCAGTTAAAAACAGAGTAGGGGAGTTAGTAGATGGGGAGAGGGAGGTATTAGGAAGATGGCGAGATTATTTTGAGGAACTTTTAAATGTTGAGGAAGAAAGGGAGGCGGTAATTTCATGCACTGGCCAGGGAGGTATACCATCTTTTAGGAGTGAAGAAGAGCAGAATGTAAGTGTGGTGGAGGTACACGAGGCATTACGTAGAATGAAAGGGGGTAAAGCAGCTGAAACTGATGGGATCATGACAGAAATGTTAAAAGCAGGGGGGATATAGTGCTGGAGTGGTTGGTACTTTTATTTAATAAATGTATGAAAGAGGGGAAGGTACCTAGGGACTGGCAGAGAGCATGTATAGTCCCTTTATATAAAGGGAAAGGGGACAAAAGAGAACGTAAAAATTATAGAGGAATACGTTTACCGAGTATACCAGGAAAGTATACGGTAGGGTTATAATTGAAAGAATTAGAGGCAAGACAGAATGTAGGATTGCGGATGAGCAGGGAGGCTTCAGAGTGGGTAGGGGATGTGTAGATCAAGTGTTTACATTGAAGCATATATGTGAACAGTATTTAGATAAAGGTAGGGAAGTTTTTATTGCATTTATGGATTTAGAAAAGGCATATGATAGAGTGGATAGAGGAGCAATGTGGCAGATGTTGCAAGTACAGTGGACCCCCGGTTAACGAACTTTTTTCATTCCAGTAGTATGTTCAGGTGCCAGTACTGACCGAATTTTTTCCCATAAGGAATATTGTGAAGTAGATTAGTCCATTTCAGACCCCCAAACATACACGTACAAACGCACTTACATAAATACACTTACATAATTGGTCGCATTTGGAGGTGATCGTTAAGCGGGGGTCCACTGTATATGGAATAGGTGGTAAGTTACTAAATGCTGTAAAGAGCTTTTATGAGGATAGCGAGGCTCAGGTTAGGGTGTGTAGAAGAGAGGGAGAATACTTCCCGGTAAAAGTAGGTCTTAGACAGGGATGTGTAATGCCACCATGGTTGTTTAATATATTTATAGATAGGGTTGTAAAAGAAGTAAATGCTAGGGTGTTCGGGAGAGGGGTGGGATTAAATTATGAGGAATCAAATTCAAAATGGGAATTGACACAGTTACTTTTTGCTGATACTGTGATTATGGGAGATTCTAAAGAAAAATTACAAAGGCTAGTGGATGAGTTTGAGAATGTGTGTAAAGGTAGAAAGTTGAAAGTGAACATAGAAAAGAGTAAGGTGATGAGGGTATCAAATGATTTAGATAAAGAAAAATTGGATATCAGATTGGGGAGGAGTATGGAAGAAGTGAATGTTTTCAGATACTTGGGAGTTGACATGTCGGCGGATGGATTTATGAAGGATGAGGTTAATCATAGAATTGATGAGGGAAAAAAGGTGAGTGGTGCGTTGAGGTATATGTGGAGTCAAAAAAAGTTATCTATGGAGGCAAGAAGGGAATGTATGAATGTATAGTAGTACCAACACTCTTATATGAATGTGAAGCTTGGGTGGTAAATGCAGCAGCGAGGAGACGGTTGGAGGCAGTGGAGATGTCCTGTCTAAGGGCAATGTGTGGTGTAAATATTATGCAGAAAATTCGGAATGTGGAAATTAGGAGGTGTGGAGTTAATAAAATCATTAGTCAGAGGGCAGACGAGGGGTTGTCGAGGTGGTTTGGTCATTTAGAGAGAATGGATCAAAGTAGAATGACATGGAAAGCATATAAATCTATAGGGGAAGGAAGGAGGGGTAGGGGTCGTCCTCGAAAGGGTTGGAAAGAGGGGGTAAAGGAGGCGTGTTAGATAGGAGTGAATGGAGACGAATGATACTTGGGACCTGACGATCTGTTGGAGTGTGAGCAGGGTAATATTTAGTGAAGGGATTCAGGGAAACCGGTTATTTTCATATAGTCGGACTTGAGTCCTGGAAATGGGAAGTACAATGCCTGCACTTTAAAGGAGGGGTTTGGGATATTGGCAGTTTGGAGGGATATGTTGTGTATCTTTATACGTATATGCTTCTAAACTGTTGTATTCTGAGCACCTCTGCAAAAGCAGTGATAATGTGTGAGTGTGGTGAAAGTGTTGAATGATGATGAATGTATTTTCTTTTTGGGGATTTTCTTTCTTTATTGGGTCACCCTGCCTCGGTGGGAAACGGCCAACTTGTTGGGGGGGGGGGGGAAGTCTGTCAAGTATACCTGGTAAAGTGTATGGTAGAGTTATTATTGAAAGAATTAAGAGTAAGACGGAGAATAGGATAGCAGATGAACAAGGAGGATTTAGGAAAGGTAGGGGGTGTGTGGACCAGGTGTTTACAGTGAAACATATAAGTGAACAGTATTTAGATAAGGCTAAAGATGTCTTTGTGGCATTTATGGATTTGGAAAAGGCGTATGACAGGGTCGATAGGGGGGCAATGTGGCAGATGTTGCAGGTGTATGGTGTAGGAGGTAGGTTACTGAAAGCAGTGAAGAGTTTTTACGAGGATAGCGAGGCTCGAGTTAGAGTATGTAGGAAAGAGGGAAATTATTTCCCAGTAAAAGTAGGCCTTAGACAAGGATGTGTGATGTCACCGTGGTTGTTTAATATATTTATAGATGGGGTTGTAAGAGAAGTAAATGCGAGGGTCTTGGCAAAAGGCGTGGAGTTAAAAGATAAAGAATCACACATAGTGGGAGTTGTGACAGATGCTCTTTGCTGATGACACTGTGCTCTTGGGAGATTCTGAAGAGAAGTTGCAGAGATTGGTGGATGAATTTGGTAGGGTGTGCAAAAGAAGAAAATTAAAAGTGAATACAGGAAAGAGTAAGGTTATGAGGATAAAAAGATTAGGTGATGAAAGATTGGATATCAGATTGGAGGGAGAGAGTATGGAGGAGGTGAATGTATTCAGATATTTGGGAGTGGATGTGTCAGCGGATGGGTCTATGGGAAAAATGAGGTGAATCATAGAATTGATGAGGGGAAAAGGGCGAGTGGTGCACTTACGAGTCTGTGGAGACAAAGAACTTCGTCCTTGGAGGCAAAGAGGGGAATGTATGAGAGTATAGTTTTACCAACGCTCTTATATGGGTGTGAAGCATGGGTGATGAATGTTGCAGCGAGGAGAAGGCTGGAGGCAGTGGGAGATGTCATGTCTGAGGGCAATGTGTGGTGTGAATATAATGCAGAGAATTCGTAGTTTGGAAGTTAGGAGGAGGTGCGGGATTACCAAAACTGTTGTCCAGAGGGCTGAGGAAGGGTTGTTGAGGTGGTTCGGACATGTAGAGAGAATGGAGCTAAACAGAGGGACTTCAAGAGTGTATCAGTCTGTAGTGGAAGGAAGGCGGGGTAGGGGTAGGCCTAGGAAAGGTTGGAAGGAAGGGGTGAAGGAGGTTTTGTGTGCGAGGGGCTTGGACTTCCAGCAGGCATGTGTGAGTGTGTTTGATAGGAGTGAATGGAGACAAATGGTTTTTAATACTTGACGTGCTGTTGGAGTGTGAGCAAAGTAACATTTATGAAGGGGCTCAGGGAAACCGGCAGGCCGGACTCGAGTCCTGGAGATGGGAAGTACAGTGCCTGCACTCTGAAGGAGGGGTGTTAATGTTGCAGTTTAAAAACTGTAGTGTAAAGCACCCTTCTGGCAAGACAGTGATGGAGTGAATGATGGTGAAAGTTTTTCTTTTTCGGGCCACCCTGCCTTGGTGGGCATCGGCCAGTGTGACAAAAAAAAAAAAAAAAAAAAAAAAAAGTGTTGAGGGAAAAAAAAAAAAAATACTGAACCTAGTAAAGCAAGAATAATTCTGTCAACCTGTCACAGCAAGAAAAATACATGTCTTTACCAGAACACATGTAAAATACAAACTGCAATGTTTTTATGTGCAAAAACACATAATAAAAAATAAATACTAAAAAAGTTTCTATTTGATACATAGCAAAAGACTATTAAACGTTAATTGTAAATTTAAACAAACACGCATTTATTAAAAGTAAAACGAGCAGTCTTGATATACCAAAACAAAAATTACATTTTTTATATAACAAACACTTAAATAACGTTTGTAACAAGGTTTAATATTCTGGAGGGCAAAGTTGTAGCAACTTCCACTGAAGAATGATGCCTTGAAGATTCTGGGTTCTTGATCCAAGGCATTACCAACCCCTTCCCCCCTGCTTGCTAATGTCAACAGTGATCAACTTCCAGCCTCCCTTCCCCAAGCACTGATCCCTGGTGAATGAATGAATGATCCTGCTCTGAGCCACTACCTAGCTGAGAAGTGGATGTGAAAAAAAAGGGGGGGGGGAGAAAGGGGCAGATAGATATAAGGCTGATGTCATAATGGGCATGAAAGGAACAAGTTATAAAGGTGCTTGATATCAGTGTAATTAGACTGTTGATCTTAGCATGTGGAAAATGCGTTAACAGTGCTGGGTACTTCACAAGGGTAATGAAGGTAGATTCATTACACACTTGGCAGGTCTAAAACTAAAACGACTAACTAATCTCTTGTACCTCTATGAAGCAATGGTAGCAGAGTAAGGACTGCCAGCAAGGGTCAACTGGCACCATTTACACTACCAGAGTTCCATTAATAAGAACCTATTCAAGTATTAGCACACCCTTGCATCTAGCATCTCCCTATGAATTTAATAAGGCAACACTTATGGCAGGATGCAGTGTTGCACCATACATACGGCACGTTGCAGAACACTTACGGTAGGTTGCAGTGCTGCAGCATACGAGTGAGAGATACACAGTTGCCCTGGATAACATTTCCTGGGCGACCTCCAACTGTGGGCACAGATCTTCGTCTGCAAGCAGCATACAACGCACATGCCAGCCATGGTAGCTGCTCACCCTGAAGATTAAACAAAATAGTAGACTATCATCAAGTTGGGGAAGCGCTAAACCAAACGGAGTCATACAAGACTTGAGTAATGAAAGGTTACTATTAGTACATTCATGGAACAGTTCTTAAATTGTAGAGATCAGACAACACTGCACAAGTCAAAGTTCATTTTTTATGCGAGATGTTGACAAAAAATCTGCACTGAGAAGAGGAACTTATTACAACCTGTTGTGAATGCAAGCGAGAACTTTTGGTGAATTGATCCAGAAATATTTTTGTCACTTATGTGAAAGTTATTATTACAATTATTAGGTACTTAACACTAAACCCAAATGGGTCAGTCAATAACTGAAAAATTGTTAATACAATACTGTCAGTTACTACTAAAGTCATCATTATTACAAGGATCACTGAAAGGGCCAGGAGGACCATTTGGCCCAAGCCTCAAGATCAAGGGGGCTCCTTGCATTGTACATTTCATTTACTAGACAGTGATGGGATGAGTGATGATGAACGTTTGGTCTTTCTAAGGTCACTCTACCTCGGTAGGAAACAGCCAATGAGTTAAAATAAATTACTCAATATGTGCACAATTTATTTAATCTGCATTTGATAGTTCACAACTTTAGTTCGTAGTCGTGAAAGTTGCATGGCCATCGTCAGTGAAAAACAAACTAAGAAGTGGGTCAATGACCACTACCTTCCCATAGGTCTAAAAGGCTTCCACAAGTTGCTGTGGCTTTCTTCTGGTGAATGATGGTCATTGGCATAACCAGAGGCTTTCCTGAAAATCTGTATAACATGTAATCTATTGTAATAAATACATACTGCATTTAATGCAAACAAGTTTACACATTTTCTGAAGGGAGCAGCAGCCAATTAGTGACCCCAGGTACGCCATATTTAACAACATATTAGCAACGCTTGTTTTGAAACCACCTTTTAAAATAATGTGCAAAAAGTTTAATAAATTTAGATTTTTGTACTGAATAAATGAATAAACACAGCATCTATAACAGAATGAAATAATTTACATAATTATAAAAAACCTAAGACAGTATTTGAGAAGCCTTTCGTTGTGCATATCTCAGTTCACCAGTGTGAATAAGGATTTACTTTCAAGAGCTGAACAATTTCAGCAATATCAATGAAATCTCAAAAAGTTCTCTTTACCGAGATTAACTTCAAGTGAATATATCTGACGAACTTTACAGTGGAATACAAACCAAAGGAATTATTGTCCGGTACTTCAAGAATTACTGAACTCTCAATTGTTTTTCCCAGTACATCACCACAAGTGTTTTTGAGAGTTTAGCAGCATCTGTGGTTTCAAGTGAATGCACTGTCAATGTTTTGATTAACAAATGGGGCCATCATGCCAAATATCAACTATGACAGCTGAAGCACTAAACCTGTATGGATCATACAGGACCAGAGGAATGAGAGTAATCAAGACTGATACAAGGGGAGGGTGGCTCTAATTTCTCAGATCATTAGATCTTCACTAGCACCAAGGCAACAAACTTTAAAACAGTTAGCCTAACAGCATTACTAGTCCAGACAAACATCAACTTATAGCTTATGATCAAAATCTCCAGGGAAAACATGTCCACCACAATGAATTAAAAGCTATCTTTATATCAGAAACATTGAGAAAAGTAACATGATGCATACATTAAAAGCTTTTTACTTGTATATTATACTGCACATGTAATAAGATCACAGTAAACGGGTGCTATCACGATATACAAAACCACAGTGAAAGAAATTGTGAAATACCAAGCAATTTTGAGATTTCTTTCATTTTCAAAGATTATTACTCCTTGATAATGTGAGAAATCACAAAAGCACTTGGAATTTCACTATATTTTCACTGTGGTTATCTTGCATTATATTACACAAGGACCTGCAGATGCTGAATGTCCCATTAGATTTTATTTTTTATGTTCAATAACACTGTGTATGAATACAGTACAAGAGAATAAATAATGACTCCAAAACAAGTTGCAATGTTTGACTTCATTGGGTTATCCTAGGATAAATCTTAACAAATGTGAACACATTCTACCAGATGTTAAATTGTTTAACACTAGTTCCGTGTTTGTACCTCGTGGCTCAGGTGTTTTTGTTCATTTATGTGATGGGAAAATCACTTGACACTGTCAATCACACTATGACCCCTACTGTACCTCATTAAAGACAGTTAATACCTGCATAATTATATGGCTCAGGTCACATTGTGTGGTAATGCACTTAGTTTAACATCTTTATTATGCACCCCATACCCATCCTGTGAGCGGTAGTCAAAAAAGATTACAGAGGTACATAATGGGTCTTAACGACCACACGAGATCAATGAAAGCCCAAGATCAGATGTGTAGCCATACTCAATTATGTATACACTACACGCCTACCCCTTTCCTTGCAGTGTTGGGAGGTTATCTTTGAAGTGGATATACCTTTAGGATAGGCATCACTGTCCTGAAATTAATTTCTCCTAGGAATATAAGAGGGACAGCAATTACGGCAAACCCCAAGTGCAATGGTAGTGGAAATAACAGGAGACTTCATTAACCCTTTCAGGGTTTTGGCCGTACTAGTACAGCTTACGCACCAGGGTTTTTGATGTACTAGTACACCTAAATTCTAGCGCCCTCAAATCTAGTGAGAGAAAGCTGGTAGGCCTACATATGAAAGAGTGGGTCTATGTGGTCAGTGTGCGTGGTATAAAAAAAAAATCCTGCAGCACACAGTGCGTAATGAGAGAGAAAAAAAAAAAAAAAAAAAAAAAAAAAAAACAGTTTTGGGATTAAAACAGCGACTTTGCACTGTATTTTCGTATGTTATTTATTGTTGTGTCCTAGTTTTCCTGGTCTCATTTTATAGAATGGAAGACAGTTTAATATGTTTATTATGCACCCCATACCCATCCTGTGGGCGGTAGTCAAAAGATTACAGAGGTACATAATTGGTCCAGGGACTGGACTCCAAAGTTTTGATAGCTGAGCAAGTTACAAAGGTAATGAACTAGATCTGGTCATAATCATGACCAAGTTACAAAGGTAATGAGCTCCAGGTTGAGCTGGTCACACTCATGAATAATTGCAAAGGTAATGAATCAAACACATTAATCATGAGAATTTACAAAGGTAATGAGCTCCAGGTAGAGCTGGTCACAATCATGACAAGTTTCAAAGGTAATGAATGATAAACACGTTATGACATGATTACAATCATAGACAAATTACAGAGTAATGAGCAGTTAACAAACATAGTAGGGAATTCATCCAATGCCCCAAACAACAGATGTGCTAGGTGCCTGTCTCTCCTCGGTAGACAGCCATTGCAAACAGCAGCAAGTTGCCCAGGAATCTGCTGCTTGCACGAGCACCATCGACCCTCCCCAAGAGGTCCAAGAAGCCAGTGACTTCGTTAGCAGCCCGATGGAGAGCTGCCCTAGGGACATGTCAGCGTCCTGGTGGACGCCAAGTTGATTGAAGATCCCAGGCCCTCGTGTGTACGGATGTTGAAGCTTGAGGAACTGAGTACACACTGTCTGTGGCACACCTGGCAGCTGCCTCGCGGTCGAACTCCACGATGCTGTCCCTGTAGTGGAAGTTCCTGTAAGCTCGGCACTCCCTGCGGCTGCAGTACCATCGCTGACATCGTGGGTTAGGGGAGAAGTACCCTCTACAGATGGGGTGGCGCTGGGAGTTGGGTGGGTGAGGCGGGGGAGTCGGGCAGGGGTGAGGCGTTATGAGAGGGTCACTGTTTACTACACACGCCCTCCCCCTCCCCCCCAGCGGAGAGGGGGGGAGGCGCTGACTGGTCCTGACTCTACAACACCAAACCCTCTTAAAACAGCAGAACACTTCAACTATTTACGCTGAAACGATGCACTGGGATGTCCGTTCGCTGCTCTGGTATCTTCTCAAAGCATTCACACTGAGTTCTGTTAAGTAGGGACCTGGTGAGCCTCTTTGACCAGGAGCTATCCTTGAAAATCCCGCAGCTAGCCCGCTACACTACCTGCCGCGTCAGCCATGCCAATGTACGAAATTACATATTACATATTACAAAAATTGAGATGATTTTGACTGGTTTTACAAAGAAAAGTACCTTGAAATTGCACTCAAAGTAGCAGAAATGTTTGATTTTTACCGAAGTTCAAAAGTAAACAAATCATGCTATGCGTCCAATACACGTCAACTGGTGAGTAATATTCTTTCACAAGTGCACTTATAATATTTATACCATTTCTACACCAATGCAGTAGTCTGCATAACAGTAAATCTTTTATATTTTTGTGAGAATAAAAATTCAATGTGGAAAGCAAAAGAATGTAAGAGGTGTGGGGACGTGACTAATGAACAGAGGAAATGATATTTTAGTGCCAGGAATGTCTTTCTTGTTTATTCTGGACCCTATTTGGAAATTGGCATCTTTTGAAATTTGTGTGAAATTGGCAAAATTGCTAAATTCTGACCACTGTATTGCATAGTTGAAATCGGTAAATGGGTGGTTTCTTGTACTCATTCGATAGAAAAAATGGAGTTCTAGCGAAATAGTTATGATTTGTCGACAAGTACACTGGAATTGGCCGAAAATAGGGCTCAAAGTGGGCAAAAATTGCCGATGCATAAACATCGTCGAGACCGCTAACTTTGCGAGAGCATAATTCCGTAAGTTTCCCATCAAATTTCGTACTTTTGGTGTCATTATGATCGAGAAAAGATTCTCTATCTTTTCACATGAAAAAGTATTTTTTTTTTTTTTGAAAT